ATGATGTTGTATACTATAGTCAATTTCCTTAACCTTATCACGCGGCTCCATTTATATTACTACTTCCGCATGTCCATGGCATGATCTAATATCTCTGACTTTTACCATAATAAAAAAGGACTTACCTAGACTTTATCTAGGGCTCACGAAGTCTGATCCGCATTGGCTCAAATCTCTATGATTAAATATCAATACTCCCGCAATAATTTTTGTTAAGAAGATGAAGTTGACTAAGTGATTACTAAATTACCAATTTTTATGAAGTGAGATTAATTTGGATCATGTATGAATAATGTATGCAACTATTGAGGGAGGTGTTGGTTTAATCTACTTTACTTGTATGTGAAGGTGTGTATCACATCATGCTGACCCTTTTGCCTTTCGTCATGTCATTTTGATTTAATGAATTCTTTTTAAATACTAGTGAGGTTTGAATGTCATGATGGTCAATATATGTACTCAACCTATAACTTTTTCTATAGTAAATAATTACATTTATCCTTAACCATTATAAAAGTGCAAAATTTGCTACTATTCCTTATGAATAGTATTTTTTGGTGTTATGACATAGCTGCCCTTAATTTTAAGGAATTGCGGACTTTGCCCTTGCTTAGGCACTTGGATTTTGCCATCTAAATTGGAAAGGCCAGCTGTTCTTAGTGGCTTTTGTTGCAGTGAATTGCTTTTGACTTTTGGGGATTCGGGTGCTTCTCGTGAATTTGGTTTGGCCTTGGCTTTGTGTTGCTGTGGTTTTGGCACGCTCTGGGTTGGATGATGAGGTGTGGAAGAAAGATGCTTTCGTTTGGGTGCTTGCCTAAGAATGGGTGGTATGTTTATTTGACTTTTTAAGCTTTTTCTGGTTTCCAGTTTGAAGTTTGGTTTGTTATATTACATTGCATGTTAGCTTCGATGCATCCCTTTCTGAATTAGGATGTTTAGGATTGCGATTAGCTTTGGATGTGTTTGGATTGGAGTAGCTTACTTGGGCGCTACTGCAGTGCTCTTTTTTAGGAATATAACAAAGACTTGGGGGTGACTTAGGTGTACTTTGTTTGTCGCATATTTGTAGGGTTATTATGAATGGGTGCCCTTTTTTACCATAGCCTATATATAGAGTAATGGGGGTTCGTTCTGGGGTATAGCAGCTTCAGTGGTGAATTCTCTCTGGTTGTGAGTGATCTGAGTTAGCTCTGCAGAGGTATTCGTTTGAGAGCTGGTGCTTTCCTTTAAATGGCATTAGATTGTCTATTGTACAATCTTGCATGTGTATTTTGGACTACATATTTCGGATTGCCTGACAAATTGAACTTAAAATTAATAACTTGCTATTAAATCAAGCTTGTTTAAGAGTAATTTAAATTCATCTTTTCTATGGGAAAATATTTTGTTTTATGTTTGGATCTACATTGAATTTGGTAAATTTAAGGGTGTTTTTGGGTGAATGGGTTCTGCTCTTATTGGTTGCTACATAAATGTATTTATTTATCCAGCTATGTCTAAGGTTCAGATAATTGAGTAATTTATTTGCATGATTCGTTAGTTCGTTCTTGTGTTTGTATATATGCTTTATATCCATTTGGACCTGTTCTTTTGTACAGCATTTGAAAGTATATTTTACCTGCACAGTTTTGACAGCTATTCTAAAAATAGCCTTTGAAATTTTAATCAGTTCAAATCCATTCTGTGTGGTAATTGTAGTGTAAATAATGAATGCTATTGTCGATTTGATTTAATTAGTTTGTCAACTGCCTTTGCACATAATTTTCCTTGGTCAATTGGCTCTGAAAAATGTCTGCTTATTTCTTACAATGGTGAGTACAGCAGGTAGATAGATGGATTTATGTATGTGAACTTATTTCTTCTTGGGGTTACAGTTTTGCTGGTAGCATTGTTCGTGCCGGTGCTGTTGGAGTTTTCCCTGTTGTGGTGCTGTTAGAAAATCTGTTAAGGTAATTTCTATGATTCCTTTTGTGTAGTAGGTGCTGTGTAGTAATTAGCATGCTTTTCACATGTTCATTCCTTGGTTTTACAAGTTTATAATACCTTGTTATATGGAAGTGTCTTGCTTTAGTGTGCATCTGAAATTGTTAGTAGTAGTGTGTATGAGTTCAGTGTTCTTTCGATGTGTATCTACCTTTCATGTGCTTTATGGATTGCTACTAAGTTGTGCTTTGTAGTAATTAGCATGCTTCTCACATGTTCATTCCATTCTTTTCAAAGTTTATGATGCCTTATATGGAAATGTCTTGCTTTAGCGTGCATCTGAAATTGTTAGTAGTAGTGTGTATGGGTTTGATCTTCGGTTGATATGTATTTACTTTCCATGTGCTATATGAGCTGCTGCTATGCTTTGCTTTGTGATTACGTGCTTTGTTTAGATTTCGAATTACTGTGGATTTTGTTACTTGGTATAGCTAGACTTTAGTGGTGTTCCTTGGGAGGTGAAACCCTGTGTTCTGAATACTCTGTCCTGAACATCGATTTTGCCATTACAGGTTATGGCTAGACGTTCAAACAAAGTCTTTGTCCCTTTTCAGCCTCTTTTGGAAAAGGTTGTTGCTTGGCTGCATTTTCCATCTCCGGTGTATGGATTCATAGATGCCGATAAGAACAATGTCTTTGTACGGGTTAATAGGCCAAACTCCCGTGCACGGTTCATCTTCTATGGTGGAGATGCCAGTTCAGTTGAAGAATCTCGTGAGAGAGCGGCTCATAAGGCTGTGAAGAGATTGATATGTCGGTTTAGTGTTCGGGTGTCTGATTTCACATATGAGCGCATTAAGATGTATCGTTTGTGTGTCAAGTTGTATAAGAATCGATGCGCTGAATTAGTGCAGGACAGAGAAGACTTGACTCGCATTCGGTCAGAGTGCAGCACAAGAGAGGGTGTGGCATTTAATGATGCTCATGTCTCGGTTGATTTTGCAGCGTTTTTGGGGGTTTTAGTGAGAAAGACCGGTGTTACTGTGACTGCCATTGAGACTACTAAGTTAGAAGGTCATGGTTATATGTCTTGGCTAATGGTTACCTGCCCTCATAATAGTATTGCCATAGAGTGCATTTTTAGTGACCCTTGCCCTAAAACAACCATTGCTGAGCAAAGAGTTGCAAAGAAAGCATGCTTCTTCATAGCTTCTGTGTTTAACCTAGAGATAGTAGATGCTAACTATGGTGCAGCTGTGAAGATCAGTGAAGAGTGTTCCTTAGTAAGGGAGAAGTATTTGCTTTTGAAAGGTCATATTGAGTGCTTGGAAAGAAGTCCTAGCCAACCTGAATCTGCTAATTGTTTGGTGAACGCTGAATGTGTCACACCAACTGCTGAAGCAAACCAGATTCCAGCTCTAGCTCTTCCACCGACTCTTTCAAATAAGCGCAAGACTGCTTTGAATGAGCTGTCTAAGAGTGGTGTGGAGGTGCAGACTTCTGAACGCCTTGTTACTGATGTGGAAGCTTTAAAGACCATCTACAAATGTGCTAGGATTGATTAGGTGGTTGATTAGTTATGTTTTGTTAGGCTAGCTGCCTTTTGGATTTAGGTGTTTAAGGGCATTTATATAGCTTTTATGGTTGTGTTTATGCTGTACTAGCTCCATTAGCGAGCTTTTGTTTATTAGTTATTAGGGTATCATGGACATGGTATCCTTTTTGCTGTAATGAAACCGTTGTTATGAATGTATTGCCTAATATGGCTTCTTTTGATGAATGGAATTATTAATGGTTTGATGTTTAGTGTTTCATACACCTTTTAATGTTTTGTTTTTCCTTTTTCTCACTAAAGAGGATGCTTTGTTTATTGGTTTCCCTTTTTTTTGGGGGGGGGGGGGGGGGGTGGGGGTTCTGGTTTTACAGCTTTGGCAGATTGCATCGACAGTTGCTATTTGGAGAGTTTACTACAGTCCAGCTTTTAGAGATTGATCTAAGACTGTGAGAATGGATATTCTTTTAATTTAAAACATTTACATTTACATATGTTCTATGCAGCTGGTTTTTGCAGATTTTGCGATGTCGAATGATTGTTATTTGTTGTATAATAGATTCTTGAAATGGCATAGCTCGCTTATCTCGGAAATCCTGTAGCAGAATAAATAAGGTCACACAGAGGGTGTCACAATCATCATGTGCTAGGTATATATATTTAGCAGAGTTGCATTGCTTAGGATAAGCATCATTGTGTTTAGGGGGTGGAGGAAAAAAAATTGACTATGGCTTTGCACGCAGCCCGTCTTTACTGGACAATCAGTGTGTTGCTATGCAGCCTCGACAAAGTCGAACATCAAAACGGCAGAAATGTATGCAACAGCTGCCTACATCGCAGCCAATTAGGTATACGATATTGCTTGTTTAAGTGCATTTATATTGCCTTGCTAGAATGCACGTGTATGTGCTTTATTTTGGCCAGTGGCCTGGTTGGTCACATGTTGTGTTGGACGTGCCTGTAAAAAACGAGCTTAGAATTTGGCAGTATTTGCTTACTTTAGTTAAAAGATATGAAGGCTGTGGGAAGTAAAACACACAGTACACTTTTCCTTAAACCACTTTTACTGGTTTTCTCTTATAAATCAGCTTTAACTTTATAAAGTTTGCCTTTGAATTAATTTTTCAACAGAAATAGTTTCGTATTTAAATTTAGGGAAATTATGGAACACAGCAACCCTACTACTTGACTGAAACCACTTGACTGAAACCCCCTAAGGTTTTAACTTTGTATACATAACTTTGTATGTTCTTGATATATGGATAGCTAATTCAATGGCTCTTACTTAGAAACTTGCTACTAAGGTATCTTTTCAGTCCTATGGTTTTCTATTCCTTTTGTGCATACTGTGATTGCTTAAGATAACCATCATTGTGTTTAGGGGAAGGGGAAAAAATAACGATTGCTCTGCATGCAGCCCGTATTTATTGGACAATCAGTGTGTTGCTATGCAGTCTTTATTGGACTGCATTTATATTTCCTTTTGCTAGAATGCACGTGCATCTGTTTTGTTTTGGGCAGTGGCATGATTGGTTTTACAGTTGTGATTCTTGATGTGTACAGTGTGCTGCACATAGAGTATCTTTTGCTTACGAATAGCTACAATGTTTGGCACTATTGTTCGGCTGGTTTGTTTGGATGGCAAAATAACATAGCCTATGTTTTGCGCAGTGAAGTGCGCAAAACAGCACGTGCTCTTTCCAAAAATGCTTCTAAGCACTGTCCTACAGAAGGTAAAAAGATAGAGTAATAATAAATATTGTATGCTTGCTTATCATTGTTATTAGTAATATTCTTATATGTTTGTTTGGTTATATCTGTGTTCGATTTAGATGTTCTTGTTGCTGCTATAGGCCGACAATTACCGACAGAGCCTTTCATACTTTCAGAGCCTTTCTACTGTGATAAATGTGGTGCGAAAAAGTTTATGTTTGAATCCTTGCATTTTTGTTGTAGAAATGGGGACATAGAAATAGCTGCACCTGAGTATCCTTCTGAACTTGTTTACTTGTTCACTTCAAAGGACGAAGTCGCTGTGCATTTCAAGAAATATGCTAGACTGTACAATAATTTATTCGCATACAGTTCTCTTGGGGGTCACTATTATGCAAGTACTTACAAAGGGATTTATGTGTTCAAATTGCATGGCCAAATGTATCATTTTGTGCCACACTTATTGGCTAATGATAATAGTCCGAAATATCTAAAGTTGTACTTCTCGATGGGCAGCGTGAAGCGCAAAATAGGTTGGATTGTTTCCCTGTAATAAGAGAGGATGTGGTTAGTATCCTTATGCATATATCCCAGCAAAATATGTTCTTCTGATCTTTAAGGGACAGAGTTATTCATGCGGATACAACAATTGTTCTTAGTAAAAACCCAGTACTTGATCAGCGTGTTTATAATGCTCCATCTGTTGATGATGTCGCTGTAATTTGGCCAGAAAATGCTTCATCTAGCCAAACCTTGGGCCCTCATATATTAGTAACTGGACAATCTGATGAGTCTCATAGAATCTATCATAATTATGGTTGCTATGATCCTCTTCAATATCCTCTGTTGTTTCCTCGAGGAGAATGTGGCTGGACTCAGGGTCTTAAAAAGAATTCTCATCCGAATAGGAGAGCGGCAGACTCGCTTCCTGATCCTATAATGTCTTGCGCCGTTCATACTGCTGCAGAATTAATAGCTGAGGAAGAAACACGTAACTATCTTTGCCTTTATATGTTTGCTTATGCTTTTAAATTCTAAGCTTCGATATTGCTTTTGTTAATTACTTATTGTGTGGTATTTTTTATACAGGTGCAAAGAGGCATAACACTAGAGCAGACAAGTTTATTTCTGCCAGAGAATACTATGCGTATAAGTTACAGATTAGGCCAAATAACATGCTTTTACGAGCAGGGCGATGCTTTCAGCAATATATAGTCGATATGTATGTCAAGATTGAAAATACAAGGCTTGATTACTTTCGCAACAACCAGGAATCAATAAGGGTTGATCTGTATAAAGGTATTTTGGATTCACTTGATTCCGGTGAAACTCTTGGTTATAATGTTGGTCGTAGAGTTATCTTACCTCCGACTTATATTGGTGGGCCTCGGGATATGAAGAAACGGTACCTAAATGCTATGGCTTTAGTGCACCGCTTTGGTAAACCCGATCTTTTTGTTACTATTACCTGTAACGCTAATTGGCCTGAAATAAAAAATGAGCTTGCTACTGGTGAGACAGCACAAGACAGACCGGATTTAGTTGCTAGAATTTTCAGAGCCAAAGTGCTTGCACTAAAGAAAGAAATCATGGAGAAAAAAGTATTTGGAGAAGTTGCTGCAATGGTTTATGTAATCGAGTTTCAAAAAAGAGGTTTGCCTCACGCTCACTTCTTAATTATTCTCAAGCCTAAATACAAGTTGAAGTCTCCAGATGACTATGATCGTTTTGTTTGTGCTGAAATACCTCATTCGACTAATCTTACCTTGAGAAGAATTGTGCTTGCACATATGATGCATGGTCCTTGCGGTAGTGTCCATGTATGCGCAAGGATGGCCTTAAGCTAAGCTGTAAGAATAAGTACCCTAAACAGTTTTGCAGTGAAACAACTAATACTAAAGATGGTTATCCTGTCTATCGGAGAAGAGAAACTGGAGAAAGGGTAACCATAAGAAGTGCACAGCTAGACAACCAATGGGTTATTCCTTACAATCCCTATCTTTCTTTGTTGTTTGATTGCCATTTGAACGTTGAAGTATGTTCGACAATCAAGGCAGTTAAGTATTTATACAAGTATATATATAAAGGGCGTGATAGAATTTCATACAATGTTGTGCCTTCTACTGCTGAGTCTGTAGATGAAATTGACCAATATCAATCAGGGAGATGGGTATCTCCTTGTGAAGCTGCATGGAGAATATTCAGTTTTGATCTGTTCGAAATGTATCATGCGGTTCTACCCTTGCAAGTTCATTTACCTAATATGCAAACTGTTCACATTCACCCTCATGAAAGGCTGCGTTCTGTTGTTTCAGACTCTAAGCGGTCAAGAACTCAGCTAACTGAATTCTTTGCAATGAATGCTACTTCTGAATATGGACTAGGATATTTGTATGGTGAATTTTGTGAGCATTACACATGGCATAAAGGTGAAAAAAATGGAAACAAAGGGTCCAAAACAGAATTTCAGTGGGGAGATTAGCATTTGTGTTCCCTGCAGAAGGAGAACGATTCTATCTTAGATTGCTGTTGTTAAATGTGAAAAGTCCTAAGTCCTTTGAAGCTTTGCGTACTGTCAATGGTTGTCTTTACCCGACTTTTCAGGAAGCTGCTCTAAAGCTTGGCCTTGTAGAAGATGATGACGCAGCTAATTCAACAATGGCAGAGGCCTGTGAGACTCATATGCCTGCTGCCTTACGCCGTCTCTTTGCAACGGTGTTGTTGTTTTGTTAGCCAAGTGATCCTGTGGCTTTATGGAATACGTATTATTCTTTTCTTGCGGAAGACTTTTCTCACAAGTTTCCAAATCAGCCATTGAAAATACAACAACTTACTGTCAGAGCAGTAGAACAGCACCTTGAGGCCATGGGAAAATCTCTTGCGTCCTTTGGTTTGGAGGAATTAAATTCCCAGTTTAGTGATGAGTTCAGACGTACAAAAGACATTTTAGATGCTCTTGATGCGCCAATACCAGAAGAATGCTTAAGCTGCCGTTCAAAATTGAACCTTGCGCAGAATGCTGCTTTTGAAAGCATAATGGAACATGTTATGCAGCAAAAGAGTGGAGCTTTCTTTATTGATGGTCCTGGAGGTACAGGGAAAACTTTTCTGTACAATGCGTTGTATGCACAGATACGGCAAATGAACAAGATTGTTTTACCTAGAGCTACATTGGGAATTGCCGCAGCAAATATTCCTTCGGGCAGAACTGCTCACTCACGATTCAAGATCCAAATTAATGATGAAGGTTCTTTAGCATGCGATGTTCCAAAACAAGGTAGTTTAGAAGCATTGTTAAAGGAGACTACCCTGATAATATGGGATGAGGCTTCAATGGCTAAAAAGAAAAATCTAGAGTCTTTAGACCTTCTACTACAAGATATCTGTGGGAATAAGCTGTTGTTTGGAGGAAAAGTTGTTGTTTTTGGAGGTGATTTTAGACAAGTTTTTCCAGTAGTTCCTCGGAAAACTATGAAGGAAGCAGTTGAAGCAAGCATTGTGACTTCGTATCTGTGGCCTAAGTTCATCAAATTTAGATTGACGGAAAACATTAGGGCAAGAGAAGATCCATTATATTCTGCTTTTCTACTTGCTTTAGGTAATGGTGAATTGCAACAATCAGAAAATGCCTTTATCGAGCTACCAGAACAGACTGCACAGTGCGATAACAATTCCACAGAAATAGTAGGAGTTGTTACAGAAGCAACATTTCCAGAAGTTGTTAATGGGAAGTTTGATTGTGAAGTTTTTGCTCAGAAGGCAATTTTAACGCCTATGAATGACGATGTGGATTCAATAAACACCTTCATGATTGAGCAATTCCCTGGACAGGCTGTAACGTATAAGAGCTTTGATGCAATTCTAAATGATACATGTAGTATATATCCTACTGAATTCATTAACAAGCTATGCCCCGGTGGAATGAGTCCTCACGAGCTTGTTTTAAAGGAAAACTGCCTTGTTATACTGTTAAGAAATTTGCTGCCATCTTCAGGTTTATGCAATGGTACCAGGCTAATCTGCAAGAATTTTTTCCCAAATGTAATTCACTATGTTATAGCCGTTGGCCACTACAAAGGGGAAAAGGTGTTCATACACAGAATCAACTTAAGGCCTTCTAGCTCTGTTAATTACCCGTTTATGTTTGAAAGGAAACAGTTCCCTATTAAACTAAGCTTCGCTATGACAATTAACAAGTCTCAAGGGCAAACTCTAAACCAAGTATCCATTTATATTCCACAGCCGTGCTTTTCCCATGGGCAACTTTATGTCGCATTATCGCGGGCCAAGAAATCCAAAGATGTTCGTGTTTTCACAAAAAATGCTGGAAACCAGTGTTCTGCAAATGCTGTTAAGAATGTCGTTTCTTATGCCCTTTTACGTCTAGCAGGTATTATAGAAGATGATGCAGGGCAGTATGCATAATATGTTACCTTACTCAAGGCAAATGCAAATGGATTAGAGCTTCTGTGAAACTTCTATGAGTGGACCTTTATAGGTACGCTACAGTTATATTGTTTTGATTTTGAAAAGTATGACCCACATTGGATTTATTACATTCTTTTTGACAATTAGCTTTCCAAATTTCCATATCAAAGACCTATTAATAGCTTTAACCTTCTGAGTTATGCATTCTAAGTACTTTGTGTTTCGGGTGAAAACAATGGGACCTTGTCGAAGGTCCGATGAAGTGGAGAAGACTGGATTCGGTCCAAGTGATGTTGGGCCGAAGGTTTCCTGCACAGTAAACACACGTAAACTAGCCTCGGGGGTGTTGCCGAGGAAGGCCCCTCCGATGCTAAAGTCAGTACAGTGTGAAGAAAGAGAACACTATGCAAGAGAATTAATTGCTTGAGGCTTTGCTTGAATAAATGTACAAATGTAATATTGATGGCTTTTATACCTTTGCATATATGGAGAAGTTGGGCCTTAGCCCAATTGGCTTGCCTTGAGGACTTATCTTTGAATTTAGCACAATTGGAGAGATGAACCTTGACCTTGGGCTTTTAATTGGATCATTTAATGCCTAGGCCCAATTGGACTAAATTGGACCCAAACAACTTGCCCCCCAGACCCGATTTGGAAGGATGACGGGTCGGATTTGATTTAATCAGAAAAGGAGGGAAGTGAATGATTTAATTAATCCAAAAATTTGAATTTAAACCGTAATTAAACCGTAATTAATGAGATAACAACAGTTAAGGCGGATAATTGTGGAAGTTGGACGGATAATGGGCAGTTTAATCGCAAGGTCGTGTGTTTAATGGTTACTTAGTGGGGTATTTAAGAGAAATTGAAACGCGGACTCCCCGTATTCCCATTTCTGGAGATATAATTAGAGGCGCGTCATCTCTCCTCACTTATTCCCCGCATCAAAACTTCGCAAATTCCCCGAGCATTAAGCTTAGAAACTGAGACTCGCCACTACCAATTCGTAAATCGGCAACTTTCGCTTCAGATTAAGGTAAATTCCTTTGGTTTTAGTTTATTTTTCTTCGAATTTGAACTCCTTCCCCTTTTTTCGACTTTTTTCTTCGAAATTATCAATGGCGAGAGGAGTTAGGGGTAGAGCCCGTGCTCCAAGAAGAGCAAGGCCAATTCCCGATCCCCGGAACAGGATTGGGACCTGGAATGGACAAAGAGCAGAGTCTGACCCTGCTGAAGGGATTAGGGCGACTCCAATTTCTTCGGCTCCTCCTCAGAGAACGGAGGGGCCGAGCGCTTCTGGGCGGGACGATGAAGTTCCCGCTGTCCTTTGGGATATCCTTCCCGGGTTTTTAGAGTGGGAGGATGCCGAAGTAGCTTCGGCCATGATAAAGAACCGCCCCTACTCATGGTGGGTGGAGAATGCCGAACAGTATCGGTTTGCCAAACAAATTGAGTTGCATTACGGCATCCTTGAAGCTGATGGGTATTGGTGCCGAATGCCCGTGGCATCAGATAGAATCCATCGTCCACCCCCGGGGTATGTGGGGGTGTACACAAGACAACTTCAGTATGGGCTGAGGTTCCCTTTGGACATATTCGTCCGAGACTTGCTGATCCATTACAATATTTCCCTATGTCAGCTAACTCCTATTAGCATCCGAAGGGTGATGACATACTTATGGGTCTGCAAGTTCTTCAGGTATGTGCCGAACCTGCACTGCTTCAAAAAGCTTCATCGGCTAGTGCCAAATATTCAAAGTGGGCACGGAAGTCATGGTTCTGGGTGGTACCGGATTGAGTCTCGGCCCCAGTACCTAACCATGTGGCCGAACGACTCTTCAGACAAGGACTGGAGAGGTCAATGGATTTGGGTTAGGGCACCCACGGACCCGGGCCACCCTTGCGTCTTCAGCGCTCCCCGGTACCTTGCTGAGCCTGATCCCGACATGGGAAGTTTAGGTCCCCCCGCAGATAACGGCCTAGATCCGAACCTTAATCAACAGAATATCTTTGGCAAGCTGCCGAACCGGGGGGGCAGCGGCCGAATGCAGCATATCCCGGAGACTTGGCTCCCCGATACGCATTATGTTTTCCAAGAGAACATGCTAGCAGCTGTCGGCCTCAGCCGAAAGTTTAAGGATGGTAAGCTTCTTCGGCTGGGGCCGAGGCCTTTTAATTATCTCTTTTTCTCCTCTTTCACTTCGCTTTTTTATGATGTGCCAACCTAACTGAACTGACCTTTACCCTTTTCTTTTTAGAGCGGGACGAGACCAACGTCGGCATTAACTACGCTCGTCTTGGCGTCAACCGAGAACGAGTTCTAACTGATCGGGCCCCCTCTATCACTGAACCGAGGCATAGAGAAGTTCATCTAGACTCTTCCCACTTCCAAATTGAGGCTGTTGCTCTGTATCAGAGGCAGAAGCCTTGGTGGAAGAAGAGAGATCCCTGGTTTCAGCTGCTGGACGAAGAAGATGAAGCTGCCCGTACGGCCGAAGAGGTTGCACGGGTTATTGAAGCTTGTGAAGGAGGAGAAGGGTCCTCCAGGGCTACTGAAGAAGAAGCTGCAGCTAGGGCAGCTGAAGAAGACGAGGCTTTGCTGAAGACCTCGGTGAGCTTTCAGACTTAATTTTGTCTGTTTCTGTTTGTTGTTTTGTTGTTTTTGTTTTTTTTTTTTTACTCACATTCTTCCTCCCCCCTGTCTTTTACAGTCTGAAAAGAGTAATAGACACAAAGAAGGGAAAGCCCCTGTTCGTCCCAAAGACCAGATACAAGAAGAGTCCTCAGACACAGACATGGACGAGCAGCCGCTTCAGAAAAGGCGCCGAAGAATGGCCATCATCGGCCCCCATGACTTTCAGCGGAGTCCGATGACCATCGGCGTCGAAATAAGGGAACCCGAGGAAGGCAATGGATCGCCGAGGGTTCCCCGGCCACCACCTGAATCACCTCCAAAGACCCCTCCGCCACCTCCCGAGATGGAAGTGGATCAGAAAACTCCCGAACCTAAGGGAGGGGTCCAAGAAGAAGTTCAAGAGAGTGCTGCTGAGCACAAGAATGAGGATGCCGTGATGCCCAGTGCTGAGGGTTTCACGGCAGACATTGCAAGAGAGGTTGAGGCCTTCGTCCTCACCCATGAAGAAGAAGAAGTCATAATAATTGACTCTTCTGAGAAGAAGGAGGATGCTGAGCCATCCAAAGTTAAAGAAGCTCCATCTTCATCCTTTCCTTCCTTCCAGACTCTGCAATCTGGAGAAATGGGTTTCTCGGCCCCCCGAATTCCAATCCCAGATTACATCTGGGACCTCATGTGGGGTCAGAACCGAGAAGGTGCTGCAGCCTACTTCGGCGATTTTGCTGGCATGTCCGAAGTAGATAGGGCAAGAATCTGGTCGCTGAAGGCCACTGCTGGGATGGGCGAATCCAGCAGATCAGTTCCTGACCCAGCCAGGTCTAACCAACTGCTGATGATGCAGGTGATTTTCCTTGCCTTTATCTCCTTTAAAATTCAGCTCTTCAATTATCATTATTATTATTATTTTTTATTTTAACTTGTGCTCCTGTTTTCAGTTCGTGCACAATCAGACTCTCATTGTAGAGCTGATAGATACCCTACAAGATAGGGTGGACGCTGCCGAGTACGACAAAAAGGTAGCCGAAGAGGAGTTAAAGCTTGCTAAGCTGAAGCAAGCAGCAGCTGAAGAGAAGCAGCAGAAGGGTGAAGAATATGAGAAAAAAACTGCTGAAGCCCTCAAAACCTTCTGCGATGCTATGGAGAAGGAAGTTTTTCCCCCAATGATGGAAGGGGAAAAATTCCTCCAAGAGCACATGGGAGTGGACATCTCCAAATTCAAGGCTACCATTGAGAGCCGAATCCAGGAAGGAGCTGCTGCACAAGCTGAAGTGCAACAACAGCTAGAAGCTGCTGAAGAGATGCTCCAAGCCAGGGATGTCCAACTCTCAGAGGCTGCTGCTGCTGCTGAAGCTCAGAGAGCTAAGCTCCAAGAAGCTGAGGATCAGCTGATGGCCAAAAAGGAAGAAGTGGCCCAGGCTCAGACAGAGGCTTCCCAAGTTCAGCAGGAGCTGAATGAGCTGAAAGGTTCCTCCTCCAAGCTCGTCGATGAGCTGAAGAAATCCAAGGAAGACTTGGAGGAGACAAAGAAGAAGTTGGTTGATGCTGAGGCTCTACTCAAAGTCCGTGTCTATACCCAGGAAGAATATGAAATGGGTTTCAAAAACGGGTTCAGAGTGTGCCGAAGAGTCTGCCTTCATGCTGAGCCGAAGTTGGACTGGTCCAAATGTGCTGAATGGGTCCAGGATCCCAAAGACCCTCATATGAAGTATGCAACTCCAGTCGAAGCTGAAATCCTTAAGGCTGAGGAAGCCGAAGAAGAAGCTGAGAGAATGGAGTTGGAGGCTGAATAGAGGGAAAGGGAGGCTCGGCAGAGTGCAAAGCCTGCTTCTTCTGCTGCTGGGGCTGAGACCACCATGGGGCCCAACAATGCTGACCAGTCTGATCCTCGGGCTGAAGCATAGGAACTCGGGTAGTCGTCTTCAGAATCTTGCGGTTCATCATGCGCTCAACTTTAGACTTGCCGCTTTCTGAATTTTTGCCTTGTTTGTTTTTTGCTTCATCTTGCCTTGTCGTACAAAACAGTTTATTTTTTTGCTTCTGTACGTATTTCGGCAGCTGTTATTTTCCGCTTGTGGGCGGCTGCCGATATAGTTTTTTAACTTATTTGAACTTGTAGCTCAATTTCTGAGCATGAATTATTAATTTGATGTTCTTTTCTTCAGCTGCTTTGTTTTTGAATGCTTTACTGTTTCTTCAATTCTGCTGAACATAAACTTGCACTGGTAGTGCTTCTTGCCCCCCCCCAGAAATTGAAGTATGGCTTCAGCTGAATAAACAATTTCTTTATTTCTTAAAAATGGTTATTCGAAACACAGGGCAAACTGAAG